TATTTCTGATCATAATGAGTCACGCTGTGTTTTTCATGCAGGGTGAACATGAAAATAGTCTCCTACACCTATCTCCTGCATTAGCTTCTGATACAAAATTGACGGTGAAAATCTAGGACTTGAAAATCTATCTCAGATCTACGTCACACTGTACCTTAACATTCATAGACTCACCCATCTTGACTCACGACGGAGAAGGCTGTTGTTGGTTTAGCATCCAAGAAACAGCAGAGAATGTCTCGGCTAGTAGAAGCTAACAGTTACCATTAGCAGCTCCACCACATAGCAGAACACCTCCAGGCTTGTGTTATTTGTGGAGATAAAACATCAACGTTGCAAAGCAGAATCAGAGTTGTGTTGCTGTTAGCCGACCCGAAGCGAGATGTCCGATTATCAGGAAATAAGACTCCAAATTAGGGGTGGGCGGTATAAACGGTATACGGTAGAAATTATATTAATTTGGCCAACGGTAGAGATTTTGACTATATCGGCCTATCGCGGTAGCGCATGTTGATGACGTCATCAAGCGGCGTCTGTTGAGGCTGAAAGCATGGAGCCTGTGGTGGAGGAGGAGGAGGGTCTCGTAAAGAAGATCGGTGCATTTGGACTTGGCTTGGCTTTAAGGAGTCGGATGTGGAGCAAAACAATACAATCTGCAAAGTATGCCGGAGGAAAGTGTTAGCGAATGGAGGGAATACATCTAATTTGTTTTACCACCTCAAAACGAAGCATGTTGTGGAAAACGAAGAAAGCCAAAAACTACGTCGTCAACAAACGCCCAGTCAGTCGATCGGTAAGAAAAAAGATGGTCTTACACACCAGCAGACGGATACTTTAAAAGCATTTGCTAAAGGCACTCAGTATGAGAGAAATAATCAACGGTGGATTGATATTACAAATGCCATCACCACGTACCTGTGTAGGGACATGGTGCTGTTTCTTACAGTGGAGAAAAGCGGCTTTCGGGACATGATTAAGACACTCGATCCACGTTACTGCTGCTATGTATCTGGTATGTGAGTATGTTTAGAAACAGTCGTGTTTGACATAAATACAAAAGAAAGTCATGTATCGCAATATGTACCGTTACCGCACATTTTTCAAATTATATCGCAAGATAGATTTTAGGCTATATCGCCCACCCCTACTCCAAATCTTGTCGTCTGATGCTGAGCTGTGATGCGACTCACTTCTACTTCCTGAAACAGGTGCACCAGAGCTTTGTTTCCCCAGAGCTCGACTTACAGTTTAAATTTACAGGATTTGATTTTCTAATGATCTAGTGAGAGTGGTACGTGTCTCAGGTGGAGGCTGAACTTTGCATCTCGTGCTGTGGAGTTTGCCTAGTTTGAGTTGGGACTTCTCCCTGAGCCTGTTCCTGTAATTATGATATTTCAGAGAGCCCGGGGGCCACGGAGCTTCTTCCCGCTCATGCTCTCCCGCTCATTAATGGTTGCCAGCTGAGACCAGTCAGGTCCTCGCTACGCCGAGTGGAAGCTCAGCTGATGGAGCTGCATCAATACCGCAGAGCCTCAGTCGAGATCAAAACGACCAGGTGATCATGACCTCCTGGTTCCACATAGGCAGAAACCTCTTTGTGAACTATAAATCTAGACTTTTGTTCTCTTCTGCCCTTGAGTGAAAGACGTGTAATTAACACTAATTTCTGCTGTGAGCGACCCTTGTTAGGTAGCAGCATATGTTTTAGGAGCTAAGCAGCAATCTGTCTTGATGTCTAATGAGGATCCTCCTGCAGGCTTTACCGACTATGAGGTAAAAATCTGAGCTCCTCCCAGGGGCGAGTCAGCACATTTGTTCAGCATACGGAGGGCAGCAGTGCGAGTGTGGCCAACTGGCTCGTCTGAAAAGATGTACACGACTTAACCAGCATGACTTCAGCATTTTCTGGTCTGACTGTTGTGTGGATTTAAAAGAGTGGCTGCCTTCGTTTAAAAATGCATAAGCAGCAGAGCGCCCGTCCCTTGTTGCTGTTGTTTGTGATGATTTCAGTCTGTTATCTGCTTCAAAATGAACAGTTCAGGGAACACATTATACTCTGAAACATGAAGTTTTATTAAAAATGGCATGTTTTGGCCTCATGGACGTAATTTTCACTTTAGAAGTGAGGGGGACACGGGGGGGTATCTTTACGTATGTTCTAATGGGAAACAGGCTTCAACACAAACGGTTGTTTTCCGCTTGGTCCTAGAGCTCAACCAGTGTCAATTTAATATAGCGTAATATTGTTTTTGGATGGTAAAAAGTGCAGAGGTCAAAACTTGACTTTGGAAAAAGTAGGGGGGGGGGGGGGCATGTCCCCACACACACACAAAATTACGTCCATGTTTGACCTTAATTAGCACCACAACGTACCAGGCTGAACAAATTCACATGGGAATGTGTGGTTTTCTCGTTGGAATTTTGGTGAAACAGGTGGGAAAACTCTTGCCCTCTTTGAAGCTCCATAGCTCCGTCAGGCTTCACACGCGTTCAGAGTTTATCATCAAACGTTTGTCTGACAGCTGATGATGTCACGCTGACTTGAAAAATGTCTAAAATGTTCTAATCTTTAGTGAAGAAACTGTTTTTAGTACATATACAAGCCATACGTTAGAACATAGACAATTTTATCTTCTTCATTCCACCATGTCCATCGTGGCTGCAGGACTGATGGTTCTCTCTCAAATCCCCTAAAAGTGCAGAGAGTTCCCACCCAAGCTTCTATAGCAGGGGTGGGGGATCCTTGTCCCTTTAGGGTTGAAATCCTGCATGTTTTTGTTGTTTCCCTGCTACAACTCACCTGATTTTAACCAGCAGCATAAGCAGTAAGGCCCAGGGTGCTAAACAGGTGATTCAACTACTGAATCAGGAGTAACAACTAAAACGTGCTGGATAGCAGCCCTCGAGGACCAGGGTACCTCACACCTGTGTGACAGAAGTCTGACTGTTTTACCTCAGAACTAGAAGCGAAGGGTTCTCTATGGCTCTACACTGAATATGAAGAAGATATGATAAGCTTAAAGACAGCATGTCTGTGTTCCTGTCTGCTGATTATTAGATTTATTTTATCAGGAAGTCCATCCATCCATTCTCTTCCACTTATCCGGGGGTCGGTTCACGGGGGCAGCAACCAAAACAGTAAGACCCAGACTTCCCTCTCCCCAGCCACTTGGGCCAGCTCTTGCTGGGGAATCCCAAGGCGTTCAGCCGAGAGACATAGTCCCTAAAATGTGTCCTGGGTTGGACGTGCCCAGAAGACCTCACCAGGGAGCCATCCAGGAGCCAACTAGAAGCCCGAGCCACCTCAACCAGCTTCTCTTGATGTGTAGGAGCAGCAGGTCTACTCCAGGCCCCTCCCAGATGACCAAGCATCTCATCCTATCTCTAAGGGAGAGCCCAGTCACGCTGTTGAGAAAACTCATTATCAGCTGCATGCTCCATGGTGATTTTAATGAGCCACTGGCTGCAGTTTTAACGTTTCTGTTTATTTAGTTTTAGTTTATTTTTTATTTTTTTTTGGGGGGGGGGGGGGGGGGGGGTCCTTATACTTCATAAAAATTCCTTTTATATTCAAGCAATTTATTGTTCAAATGGGCATTTTGTCTCAAATTAGATTTTTAATGAGGTTATAGTTAAAATGTTTGCACCTGGAACATTTTGATGTTGTTTTCTGAAATGTTTCAGCCTGTTTCCGTTGTTCTGGAAGGCTGAAGCATGTTCAGTTCAATTCAATTCAAAAATACTTTATTAATCCCAGAAGGAAATTGATTGGTGTAGTAGCTCAGAATAATAATAATAATAATAATAATAATCAAGTCATCAAAGAGTTAGGTTTAGGGTTCAACATAAAAATAGACATTTCTATTTCCAGTCTAAGTCAGCCATAGCAAAATCTAATTTCCAGAATTGCTAATTTGTTAACTAAAAGGTTAAATTAAGATCTTTAAAACCATTCAGATGACTGACAAAGTGAAGTGACCACGTCGTGACCAGAGGAGAAGCATCCTGAACCGCGTCCAGCATTTGTCCATCCCTCTATATTCATTTCCGGAAGTAAATCATTTTTGTAATCCTAATCTGAATGCTGTGACAGATTAAGAGAGGGAGAGACAGAGAAGCTGCAGCTTCACTAATCTCGCACAGATTCAAAAATGTTGCTTTGCAAAATGTGTCTCTTCTATTGTTCATTCTGATAAAATACATTTAAAGACTCAAGGTAAGTTCATCACTGCACTGATACACATGTGTGTGTACTTTTACTTTTTACTTTTACTTTTCCGTGTAATCACTGATGATTATCATGGATGGGCTAGGAGATTACCGGGGTGGGGGGAGGGGGGTGCAATCCACGAGCATAACTAAGAAATACAAACACATCAAACGGACTGTGTACAGATCAGGCTACACGAGCCAACAGATGAGGAAAAGGTGACAGAATTAGGTTTAAAAGCTGAACTGAATTATTTATCTTACTCAAAAACACTTTAATAATTAACCAGCACTGCTGTCTGATTCTTCGCGTGTTAACATCTCTGGAAAAAAGGCTCAGAAACACATAAGAGCTCCATGTTTTTAAAGCCCTGCTGTCCTCCACCTGACTGAGATCCTGCTGGCGAGGGTCTGATTGTCCAGCTCGCTGAATAACTGGATCAGCACGGTGAAAGTGCTCGTCTGACACACGACCGTTTGTTGTTGTGAACTGAAACGTTACCAGAAGCCATGTTCTGACATTAAAATAGAAATGTGGTGGAACGTGTGTGTGACTGGTTTCAGGTGTGTGTGTTGTTAAAAGGATGGAGCTCGTAACACACAGATGATCACAACTCTGTTTGAATCTTGTGGAAAAAATGACGCTTGGAGATTAAAATATTCATGTATGTGTTCAACAGTGACACTGAGACAGTTTTATTTTACAATTGAAGTCGATAAAATGATTTCAATTACTTCACAGGAGATGTTTGGACCAACGCTTGTCTTCTCTGTCTCCTCTTGGCCCTCAGACTGATTGAGAAGCGGCAGGTGAATGGAGAAACCATCGAGTTATCGGCCGAGGGTCGGCCCGAGCTGGTGGAGGAGAAGGAGCTGCCGGTGGTGGACTGTACTTGCTTCGGCCTGCCCAGACGCTACATCATCGCCATCCTGTCTGGTCTGGGCTTCTGCATCTCATTTGGTATCCGATGCAACCTGGGCGTCGCCATTGTTAGCATGGTCAATGACCACACAGTCTACAAAGGCAACAAGGAAGTACTAGTGGTGAGTCAGGGTCAGTCTGATGTCCGAAGGAGATTTTACGTTTGTTCAATCTGTTGCTCTTCTGTCCAGGCTGCACAGTTCACCTGGGACCCGGAGACAGTAGGGATGATCCACGGCTCCTTCTTCTGGGGATACATAGTCACACAGATCCCAGGAGGCTTTATATGTCAGAAATTTGCTGCCAACAGGTTTGTCTTCATGCACAGAGTGTTGAAAATCTGCAAAAAATATGTTGTTTCTATCTCAATTCTGGTGTGTGTGTGTGTGTTTGCGTGCGTGCGTGCATGTGTGTGTTACAGAGTGTTTGGCTTTGCCATAGTGGCCACATCCACGCTCAACATGCTGATCCCATCTGCAGCTCGCTGCCATTACAGCTGCGTCATACTAGTGAGGATATGCCAGGGCCTGGTTGAGGTAACGTTAACATGTCCGTGTGAGTGACTTGCACGTGTTACAAAGATTTTCTGACTCGTATTTTAAAAAAGAAGACTTCTATAACCAGACACTGTTCAACAGAAACAAACCAACATTCTACAAGTTGTAAAACTGATTATTATTCCTAATCTCAGAAAACCGATTCGTAGTGGTTGTTGGTAACGTTTTTAACAAGGATCTTGTACAATCTGTTAGCACTCTGACTTCATTTTACAGAGGACTCCCAGCCAACACCACACCAAAATGCAGCTCAAAATCAGGGAAACTGTGTCACCATTTGTGTTTTTGCTAATGTTGAGCAGCTGTGGCAGCCATCTTGAACAGGGTTGACTCCAAACATTACTATTTGCGAATTTCATTCAAATCAATCTTGTGGTCTTACATGTGCACACACACACAAACAATATTATCGTCAACCACTGTCTTGTCTTTAATTATCATGTTTGTTTGTTTTTTCATCCAGGGTGTTTCGTATCCAGCCTGCCACGGGATCTGGGCCAAGTGGGCACCTCCTCTTGAGAGAAGTCGATTAGCCACTACAGCCTTTTGTGGTAAACATTCAGCATGTTGCCCTGATGTGCTACTACACTTCAACGGGACAAAACATGCAAAACTCACCTTATGCCTCCTCCCGTGCTGCCATATAAGTCTCTATTTCCTCTATAAACACTACAAACATTAAAAAAAACTCCCATCTATCCGCTTTCTGTCACTGTTTGGTTTCATGTACCTAAAACAAGCCGTTTCAAAAAGTCTTCAATTGTGATGTCACAAACGGGGAAATTGGCATTGAATCAGCTTTCATGTGAAAGAGAGCAGCAGCGGCTGGAAGAGTAGCAGCTCCACTACTAGCCCCTCCCAGATATCAGATACATACCTACAGATTTGCACATACATCACCTGATCATGTGGGATCTCCATAGTGGACGTCAGCAATGGATTATGGGGGTATTGAACAGAGGGCAAAAGCGGAAACTGTGATTTGAAGGGTCGACTCTTTTCTAGTTTCTTGGTTTTGAAATTACATTCTACTCTTTTATCAGCAACGAGAACATGATCTGGATCACCATTTCTTCAGTAATATTCTAGCGTTATTGATTTGCAGTTAAGGGGCTGCATAAAATCTCTCTGAGGGTTAAAAATGGGCCACGCACCACACTTTGGACAGCCCTGCTGTACATGGAGGACCCCATGTTTTCTTTGAAATTTAAGAGGAAACCGTCACATTAAAATGATCATTTAATAAGGCATTCTTTCTGGGGTGGTCGGTCTGATAAATGATATTATTTGTTGTTTTAGGATCCTATGCAGGGGCAGTGGTGGCTATGCCCTTAGCTGGGATACTGGTGCAGTACACTGGGTGGCCTTCTGTATTTTACGTCTATGGTTAGTACAATTATCTTGTGTTTTATTAAATAAAAGCATCCTAAAACGTTGTTGATGACAGTATCTGAATCAAAACTACATTTTGCTCATAGAATGTGCCTCTTAAGTTGCTAGTCAGTCGATTTTTGTGACTTTCAGCAACCAATGAAGACTTTTGAGAGCCTGCTTTTATCTTGATCTGCTTTGCTCTCCCTTCTTCTCCCAGGCAGCTTCGGGATATTCTGGTACATGTTCTGGATCCTGGTGTCCTATGAGAGCCCTGCAGCCCATCCCACCATCTCACCAGAGGAGAGGAAATACATAGAAGATGCAATCGGAGAGTCGGCAGCATTTCTCAACCCCCTCCATGTGAGTTAACGTGTAAAAACCACTGATGGTCTTGTACACATGCAGCGCTCTCTTTAGATTTTTCTCAATAGAGAGCAATGGATGTTTGTTTTGGTGGTTGCAGAAATTCAAAACGCCCTGGAGGCACTTCTTCACCTCCATGCCGGTCTACGCCATCATCGTGGCCAACTTCTGCAGGAGCTGGACCTTCTACCTGCTGCTCATCAGCCAGCCCGCTTACTTTGAAGAAGTGTTTGGCTTTGAGATCAGCAAGGTGAGCTTAACAACACCCCACATTTGACTCATTTAGCCATTTTCACTCATGCAAACGTGCATGAACCTTGTTAAAAAGGTGTTTTGTTTCACTTTTTATTAGTTTCAGATGTTTCTGCAGGAAGTGTGAAGAGATTCTTATACTCCTGCCAGCTTAACCCTAAAACTACAGGTGCTGGCCAGTAAATTAGAATATCATCAAAAGGTTGAAAATATTTCAGTAATTCCATTCAAAACGTGAAACTTGTACATTATATTCATGCAATGCACACAGACCAATGTATTTCCAATGTTCATTACATTTAAATTTGATATTCATAAGTGACAACTAATGAAAACTCCAAATTTGGTATCTCAAAAAATTTGAATATTCTGAAAAGGCTGAATATAGAAGACACCTGCTGCCACTCTAATCAGCTGATTTACTCAAAACACCTGCAAAGGCCTTTAAAAGGTCCCTCAGTCTTGTTTTGAAGGCACCACAATCATGGGGAAGACTTCTGACTTAACAGCTGTCCAAAAGACAATCATTGACACCTTGCACAAGGAGGGCAAGACACAAAAGGTGATTGCTAAAGAAGCTGGCTGTTCGCAGAGCTCTGTGTCCAAGCACATTAACAGACAGGCGAAGGGACGGAAAGAATGTGGTAGAAAAAAGTGTACAAGCTCTAGGGATAACCGCACCCTGCAGAGAATTGTGACGACAAACCCATTCAAAAATGTGGGGGAGATCCACAAAGAGTGGACTGCAGCTGGAGTCAGCGCTTCAAGAACCACCACGAGGAGACTCATGACAGACATGGGATTCAGGTGTCGCATTCCGTGTGTCAAGCCACTCTTGAACAAGAAACAGCGCAAGAAGCGTCTCGCCTGGGCCAAGGACAAAAAGGACTGGACTGATGCTGAGTGGTCCAAAGTTATGTTTTCTGATGAAAGCAAGTTCTGCATTTCCTTTGGAAATCAAGGACCCAGAGTCTGGAGGAAGAGCGGAGAAGCACAGAATCCACGTTGCATGAGGTCCAGTGTAAAGTTTCCACCGTCAGTGATGGTGTGGGGTGCCATGTCATCTGCCGGTGTTGGCCCACTCTGTTTCCTGAGGTCCAGGGTCAATGCAGCCGTCTACCAGGAAGTTTTAGAGCACTTCATGCTTCCTGCTGCTGACCAACTTTATGGGGATGCAGACTTCACCTTTCAACAGGACTTGGCACCTGCACACAGTGCCAAAACCACCAGCACCTGGTTCAAGGACCATGGTATCCCTGTCCTTGATTGGCCAGCAAACTCGCCTGACCTTAACCCCATAGAAAATCTATGGGGTATTGTGAAGCGGAGGATGCAATACGCTAGACCCAACAATGCAGAGGAGCTGAAGACGACTATCAGAGCAACCTGGGCTCTCATAACACCTGAGCAGTGCCACAGACTGATCGAGTCCATGCCACGCCGCATTACTGCAGTTATTGAGGCAAAAGGAGCCCCGACTAAGTATTGAGTGCTATACATGCACATTCTTTTCATGTTCATTCTTTTCAGTTGGCCAACATTAGAGAAACAAACATTTTTTCATTGGCCTTTAGAATATTCTAATTTTCTGAGATACCAGATTTGATGTTTTCATTGGTTGTCACCTATAAATATCAAAATTAAACGTAATAAACATCGGAAATACATTGGTCTGTGTGCATTGCATGAATATAATGTACAAGTTTCACGTTTTGAATGGAATTACTGAAATATTTTCAACCTTTTGATGATATTCTAATTTACTGGCCAGCACCTGTAAATCCCCTCTCAACAGGGGCGTGTCCAGGGAGTGGCCTGGGGTAGCACATGCCACCCTTGGAATCTGATTGGCCACCCCAGGTGCCACCACACTAATTTACCTTTAAATAGGCTTTTCATTGTCCACAAAAGGCTTGGGGGTAAAAAAAAAAAGCATAACCATTGGTGCCACCCATGCACAAAGTTGTGCCTCACCTGGGCCACCCCATTTTAAAAGATCTGGACATGCCACTGCCTCTCAACGTTTCATACTTGTATTTACTGTCCTGCAGAGGTTTGCAAGAAGCTACATGTTATACCAGCATTTTGTTAACAAACTATGATGCTGCACACACCATGGCTTCTTTCAGCTTCACCCTGATGATTCACACTGACTCCAACCACAGTTTTCTTAGAGATTTCTTTATGAGTCATAGGTGGGTTTGGTTTAAATTTAGATAGAATAGGATTTATTTTATTACAGAAGAATTCCATCCACCCATTTTCTTCCACTTGTCCAAGGTCAGGCTGTGGGAGGGAAGCCCTGGCATCCCCTCTGCCCAGAAACATCCATTCCCCAGCTCCGAGCCATTCTCAGGCCACAGAGGGCATAATGAGAGTAAACATGCCTCAAATCAAATCAACTTTATTTATATAGCACTTTTCATACAAAAAATGCAACTCAAAGTGCTTTACAGATTAAAATGGCCCCATAGATCCCACATTCCCATCCCAGCCCCCCTCCCCAAGTATAAAACAATTAAAAATTACAGTTCCCCTCCCGCACCCAACTTCCAAAGTGGACATACAATCACCCGCACACACACACACACACACACGCACACACACACACACACACACACACACACACACACACACACACACACACACACACACTCGTGAACACCAGAGGAAACAATAGGCTGAGTTCAGATGGGTCAGGTAATGAACGACACATCATCAGCGGAGCCATCTGCCCTGGCAGCAACAGATCCACGGCAGCAGCCAAGACACCGGCCCATGACGCCCAGTGGCGTAGGGCAGAAACCCCCACCAGTGCCCGGGCACTACCTGGGGAGCGCCCCGGCCGCCGCCGCCCCTGACCACCGGCCCCAAGGCAGAGGGCTCCGCAGAGGAAACACTGGAGGATTTAAGATATATAACATATAAAATAATAAAAGCTAATAATGATAAAAAGTAACTGATAAAAAGTGATTATAAAGATAGTAAAAGAAAACATAATCATATAAAAACACTAAGATGTATATATAATGATAAAAATAATAAAAGAGATAAATATGTATTTATAGATAAATAGTAATCAGTTAAAAGCTAAGCTAAAAAGGTGGGTCTTGAGCCTATTCTTAAAAGCCTGGATGTTCCCTTCGGGCCTGAGGTCCTCCGGCAGCCCGTTCCAAAGGCGAGGGTCGTAATACTTGAAGGACGCCTCGCCGTGGGTGTGAGTCTTAACTTTAGGGATAACTAGGAGACGGCTGCCAGAGGAGCGCAGAGACCGCGAGGGTTTAACCAGTAAAAGCAGTTCTGAAAGATAAGAAGGCCCAAGACCATTAAGACACTTAAAAACCATTAAAAGAACCTTAAAATCAATCCTGAAACATACGGGGAGCCAGTGCAGTGATTTTAAAACCGGAGTGATGTGCTCCCGCTTCCTGGTCTTCATCAGGACACGTGCTGCTGAGTTTTGTAAAAGTTGTAAACCTGAGATGCTCTTTTTGGGAAGACCAGAAAGCAGGGCATTGCAGTAATCAATTCTACTGGTTACAAAAGCATGCACTAGCGTCTCCGTATTGGCCCGAGAGAGAATGGGGCGGACTCTGGCGATATTCTTAAGATGGTAAAAACCTATTTTTGTGATGTTTTTAATATGGGGGATAAAAGTCAGCTCAGAGTCGAAAATAACACCCAGATTCTTCACTTGTAGTGATGGATAAAAAGACATTGATTGTAGTTTAGGTAAAAGTTTCTCTCTCTGGGCCTCAGGACCGATGACTAAAACTTCAGTTTTGCCCTGGTTGAGCTGGAGAAAGTTTTCAGTCATCCATGATTTAATATCTAAAATGCAATTAAAAAGTGTTTCCACCTATGACACCTATTCTAAGGAAATTTCAGGGGGGTCCTGGAAATAATTTTTAAAAAATTCCAATAAACTGTTTTACACTTTCAAATATTCAAATCAGTATTCATAATTTACTTCATTCCAGCGTTTTTATTTTACATTTATACATATTTTCTGTTTGCTTTTCCAGGTGGGCGTAGTGTCAGCTCTGCCCCATCTGGTGATGACGATCATCGTGCCTTTTGGAGGCCAGTTGGCCGACTACCTGAGGAGCCACAACCTGATGACCACGACAAACGTCAGGAAAATGATGAACTGTGGAGGTGAGAGCGGAAGCTACACAGTAGAGATTAGGCTTTTGTAGGTTTAGATATAAGTAAATCCCTTTTAAACGTTATAGTAACTAAAAGCTTTTTCTGAGATTATAAAAACACAATATGTCTAAAGAGATGAGCTTTATCTCTAATTTCTGTGATGATCTAAATGTGTAATAGTTTAATTAAAACAAAACAAGGAGCATTCCTGCAAAAACAAATGTTTCTGGGGCCACACGTCTTTGTTGTTATTATTCACATCATTTATTCTGTGACATTTTTCCTCATCACCATCAGCTGGGAGGGTTTAAAGTGCAGCAGCTGCACATAATACAATCATTAATATTTTAGCACAGCCTAAAGGTCAAATCAGCGTGTGCCTAAAACAAAACAAATGTGCCATTTCCAACACATTTATATTGCATCGCCACCTAAAGGAGAGCAGCTGCGTGTTTGATGTTTTTGTTTAATTTTGTAGTTTTCATACATTAGTATAGATTAGTCTCCGTGGTTCAGGTTTTGGGATGGAGGCCACTCTGCTGCTGGTGGTGGGATTCTCTCACACGAAGGGTGTTGCCATCTCCTTCCTGGTCCTCGCTGTGGGATTCAGTGGATTTGCCATCTCAGGTAGGTGACATTAAATATTGTTACTTTATTTTGAAAAGCATTTGTCATTTGACCTTTGAACTCTTAAAGGAGACACGTTGCACCTGCTTTTAACACGTTTATATGATTGCTTTTCATTTTGATGAGGTTCGTCTCTACTACGGCACCACGGTGGTCGTAAAAGCTGATTTAGGTCAGATGCTTCATACATGTTAGGCACTCGTCTAACCTAACACTTTCCTTTGTCTCTAATTAGTTAACTAACCTGCAGGATGGTTTATTATGAATAACTGCCTACTTTAATAGGAGTCTAATGTTGCATAATTACATGCATTAAGCAGCATAATTGACACAAATGTCCACGTAATACATTATTTGTATAAACATCTTAATTTCTCTAACATTAACTCCATATATCTTCAACTTCCTGTGAGTTATTTTCTTTCCAGGGTTATGAAGCTTTTGAGAGTTTGTTTAAAAAAAATCTTTTTCTTTCTTTTTTTATTTGTTTTCCTGTTTATGAGAGTCGGCTAATCTGTAATAGCTAGAATTGTTTACTTTTTTAAATCACACCAAAAACAAATTCAGGTCTCAGGGGGTTAAAGGTGTTTTATTTTGGTATATATTGGGGTTTTTACATAAAATTGCTACTAATGGTACTACTGTTTTAGAGAGTTCCCCGAACAGCCTCTGTTTGGAGAAAGGGAGTTTACATCCTACAATTCAGATGAGCTAATGGCTAACCTGAACACAAGACCAACATGTTTTACTGTCATTTTAAAACAGTTTAAATCTCCAAAATTTTACACGATGTTATTTGATAAACATCCATGCTGCTACAGTTTCTCCTCAGACGCTCTTGAACAAAAGACATTGTGATTATTTTCTCTCATAGGGTATGTTTGGGTAATCTTTGAGGTTGTGTAATTAAAAAAAACTGCTGGATGGAAGTTTGACTAGTTTGACTTATATATTTTTGCTGTCTGTCCTCTTTTCTGATCCCCCAGGAACAAAAGCTAAAGTATAGGGAGCCTAAGTCTCCTCCCTTTCCAGTCGGCTCACAGGTCCCCGGAAGAGCAAAAAAGTGAATGCAAGTCAACGGTGCTAAAAGAGCTGTTTTCTAATCAGGGTCGTGTCCAGGGAGTGGCCTGGGGTAGCACATACCACCCTTGGAATCTGATTGGCCACCCCAGGTGCCACCACACTGAATTCCCTTTAATTAGGCTTTTCATTGTCCACAAAAGGCTTGGGGTAAATAAAAAAAAGGCATAACTGTTGGTGCTACCCATGCGCAAAGTAGTGCCTCATCTGGGCCACTCCATTTTAAAAGATCTGGATACGCCACTGTTTCTAATCGCTTTGACCCTGGTTCACACATATTTTGTACTGCAATTTAAATGAAAACTAATGATGTGTGTTTCAACTACGCCAGTCACGTACTTCGAGATTTAGCAGCCTGTAAAAGTTTGCAATTAGCATGACTGCAAATCAGACGTCGGTACGTTGCATATATGACGTCACCACATAATCTTCTCTCCCCTAGCATAGCTGCTACTCACCACATGGCCAGATTATTGGTAGTTCTTTCCTCTTGAAAGATGGATTTGAAGTTTGCTGAACTTACAGCCATTTTCCCTCTGTTTTTTTTTCCGTGTCTGGTTCGGTGACACATTTGTAGTCCTGGACTTATTTTCACACAAAACCTAAAATAGCATTTCCCCCCGTTCGAAAATAAGCACGTTCTTGGTATCAAATTGTGTCTTTAAAATTCACAGAGATCATATGTGAAATCCATGGCACAAAACAAGCAAGATTAGAAAATAGCGTTGTTAGCCCTATCGACTCGCATTAATTTTTTCGTTCTTCCGGGGATCCATGGTCTGGAAGTAGATAGGCGTGAGCTAGGCTCCCTATAATCAGAAGGTTTGGCAAAAAAAATTTAAAATCACAATTTTTCACGACGAAATTGTGATGACACACTTTTGATTATTTGTTGTTTTTTGCTTTTTGAACTATTTTGTCTCTGAGCCATGAAACTACACTCGCCTTGTGTTAAAATCTTAAAGGACTTGCTATAGCTAATAATAAGCTGTTATATGATCAAATGAGCTAATGCTAACATATTACCACAACTTAATTATGATGTGAGTCACTGTTAATAGGATAAAGCTAAAGATCCTCACATGACACACACACACACACACACACACACACACACACTTCTTTTTAAGGATTCATTCTTAGGTGATCAGGCTCAGAGCGTGTCACGTCTAAAACGGTCCGGGTGGAAACACATCTCTGTTCTCCAAATGTTTTTTTTATGCTTGAAAATTGTAGCACCAGTGCATAAAGTAAAGCATGTAACAGGCATGGGGGAAAAGGGTTTTTTGTTTTTGAAAAATTATTCCATTCTGCGTGTTTTTAATGAAAGAAAGAAAAGTTGATCTTCTGTTTGTTTTTTCTCACAGGGTTTAATGTCAATCACTTGGATATCGCTCCTCGATATGCCAGTATACTGATGGGGATTTCGAACGGAGTGGGAACGTTGTCAGGAATGGTGTGTCCCCTCATAGTGGGAGCCATGACCAAACACAAGGTGATTATTTTACCTGCAGCAGCTGCATCGCTAGAATGAAAGTTGTTTACTTAGAAATAACATCTGAGAGGACCTTTACATGATTTCAGACACGTGAGGAGTGGCAGTACGTCTTCCTCATAGCCTCCCTCGTTCATTACGGAGGAGTCGTTTTCTATGGTAAGACTTCACACGGTTCCATATGGAGAGTTCAGAAGCTCCCACTTAATATTCCTTTAATCATTAGGACTGTTTGCGTCGGGAGAGAAGCAGTGGTGGGCGGACATAGAAGACACGAGTGAGGAGAAGTGTGGTATAATCAATGAGGACGAACTGGCCAACGAGACGGAGGAGTTGTATCGAGGAGGCGGCCAGTATGGGGCCATGAGCCAGGCCATAGTGGGTTCCAATGGAGGAGGCGCGGGAGGCGGAGGAGCAGGATGGGTGACGGACTGGGACAAGTCCGAGGAGTACGTTCAACCACCTGGACGCAACTCTGACATGTATGGAGGAGAGATGGAGAAGACGCTGACGTAGAGGGCTAGTGGGGTCCTCAGTTAAAGATTGTTCTTGGAAAAGGACTGTAGGCGTTAGAGTTGGACATTTTTACAAATGCACATGCCTAGAGTGTGTATCTAACTAGTTCTGTGTGTGTGTGTGTGTGTGTGTGTGTGTGTGTGTGTGTGTGTGTGTGTGTGTGTGTGTGTGTGTGTGTGTGTGTGTGTGTGTGTGTGTGTGTGTGTGTGTGACAGAAAGTGTGTGTTGGCCTTCTGGTGCTGAAACATTGTGCGATGAGCGTGTTTTGATGAGCTGAGTCCTGCTGTGACCTCTTTATTTTAGTTTTACTCGCAACACAAAACAACACACAGCGCTAATGTGCAGAGGGAATGGCGATGCACTGTTTGATGTTTATTAAACAGGCGAATATGTTGCTGCACATATATTAGATCAGCAAAGAGTTTAAAACAAAACAATGCACAGGAGAACTTTCCCCATGGGTGACGAAGCTTTGCTTTCATTTGTGCAACCTGCAGGATGCAACGTTCACATTTACACACACGCACACACACACACAGCCCCTGATTTGAGTTAAGCGCTTACTTTTTATCTGACGTTAATTTTTGGAAGGCTCTTTATCTGATCCTGCTTGTAAAATAAAGATTGTTGAAATTGTATTTGATTGAAATGATGGTATAACATTGAAATGTGTTGTTTAAACAGTGGGTAAGGAAATGTCTGAGTGTAACGTCTCCATGACATGAATGAATATTCCTATGAATAATTCCCAAGTGTTGTGTCCATGTATCTTTTAATCAAGTTTCTCTTTTTCTCAAATGCTTTGGCTGTTCCGTTGTCGTCCTCGCCCCTCTTGATGAAACGTGTAAAAAAGAGAAAAGATCATATTTAAACACAGATGTGATGTATAAAATGTACATGTGAGATAAATTTGTGTAAAATAAAGTTTTAAGCAATTTAAGATGATCTAAGCACCATCGTGTTATCAGGGTTTATAATTTACAACTTTATAGCGCATTATATTGGTGTTTTACACGAAGAGCACAATGTATTTCTCTCTCTTTCTCTCAGGACAGATGGATGCAGGATTATCGCTGCGATATTAGGCAAAGATTAGATGGGAGAGCAGATGCACTCTGTGGGAAGCGTGAGGGAGAAACATGGACGTCAAAGACAAGAGAAGTGGTGATGAAGAGGCAGAGGGTGGGGCGTGAATCCTATTGTCTGTGTTTAAATGTGTGTCTACATACAACAGTGTAGCTTATTATTATTATTATGCATACATGCAATTATTAGGTTTGCTCAAATTTGACTTTTTCCTCTTCAAATGTTGTGAAATTATATTTACATGAAACGGTAAATAAAAACAGTAAGCATTTTCACATCGATTTAGCTACATTATTTTATATCTTACATGTTTAAATTGGCTTGAAATCTTTGGGGCAGTTTTTACTGAAAGTAATAACATCTCATCACATTTGACAGTGGATTTATATGATGCAGTTCCAAAGTGTAGCCACAAGAGGGCAGTAAACGTCGTTCTAAACCATGGCTTTGGCGTTTTCTCCCTGCCAAGTTGCTTTTATTTTGACAGGATTCTTTGATTTTTAACTCCATCATGTTCTCTCTTTTTTTTACCTTTAATCTGTCAAACTGTAAACTAAAGCCCTTATATGAAAAATCCAAAACATTTCATTTGTTAAATGCATTAATTTATTCCATGATGTTTTATAGATAATTACAAATACAAAGTATCTCATCGGTTAATAAATGTATGTTATTGAATTTTTAATTTTTTTTTGGTTTTGCATTTTCAATCCCACAAAAATTCATTTCATTAAATGTTTTTTATTTCAAACAGATGTATCCATTAGAATTTACTGTCATCATTGATTCAGCAACATTCCTTTATTTGAAAGGAGATAGGCCGAAGTGTAAATTTATATATCCCTACCCTTTCTTACATATCTGTTACTTGTGCGTTATATTGAAATATCACATAAAAAGAGAAAAAGAAAAGAAAAAAACAACAAATCTAAAACAATTACCCCACATCTCTTTCAACTACAATAAGTATGTAGGTATAGGTGGCCTATTGCCCTTTTCCCCAAATACCTTTTTATTCCACCTCGAACACAGCACTTTTGGCTTTTTGGATATACTTTGAAGGACAATTACTGAAAAAGTACACAGTAAAAGTAGTTCATACTTTTGTACCAGGTAGTACTCGAGGTACTTAGAATGTGTGTATCAAAAAGGCACTTTCAGCAGCTCTGTGTTATCCTGATTTCAGCCCATTCTGTCGCTCATCTCAGCTCTTCTCCAGCAGCGAGACGGTGTTACCATAAAGTACCATGTAAATGCGCACTTCAATTGTAGGTGCGGCTCACTTGACCGCAGTCACTTTGCGCGCCGGTGTTCTGGTCGAGCAAGGACTCTATGGCGTTTAAAGTGTGCCACAACCCGTGCACGCGCATTGGGTCCACAGCGCGCGTGTGAACGGGACTCGCGAGCGCAAATATACATGGCAGCGCGCGTGTGAACGGGACTCGCGAGCAGAAATATACATGGCGAGAGGTCATTTGTGCACTGAGAGGGAGCAAACTGTGTCTGTGAGCGCACAAGGATGTGCACAAGTGACAAACCTGCGTGCGCGCGTTGTCAACGAGCACACGGCAGAGGAAAACGTGCGCGCGCGGCAGCCTCTGTGCACACTCGGCAGCCTCTGTGCGCGCTCGGTTTCTGACTCCTGCTCGCTCGGCTGTAAGGGCTTTTGGCACTCTGGAGGCGTGGCCTGTGGCAGATCTTCTCTGTCCTCTGATTGGTTAGTTTACCCCGCACTTTACCCTCTATTTATATAAAAAAGTCTGATATTCCATAGTTGCTGGCATAGCTCAGCTGGGAGAGCGGGTGAGTCTCGTCCCGGAGGATCCAGGTTTGAGTCCGGGCAAGGACAATGCAAAAGATGTCATGTTAATTTTTCTTAATTTCAGGTATTTTACAGTTGTGACCGTTCAACTGTCATTAAACGTCCGAAGGTTTGCTGGGCAGTGTTTTAAAAAGTGCACATAAGCTAGATGGTTTTAACCATATAAAATTACATTTTTTGTGATACTGGAAAAATACATACTGAAATAAAACTACTGATTGAAAACTTTATGACTGTGGTTGTACAATATATGACTCACTAATACACTGCAAACTCCCTTAGAGTGGGGCTTCCAGAGAGAGAGAGAGAGAGAGAGAGAGAGAGAGAGAGAGAGAGAGAGAGAGAGAGAGAGAGAGAGAGAGAGAGAGAGAGAGAGAGAGAGAGAGAAAAGTTCTTGCCTCATTAATGAATTGTTTATTTTTTTCAGTATTTAATTGACAAATTATCCTTTCAAATGATTAATTGATGAGTTACATAATTGTCCATTTAGAATTGTTGAATGGACTGAGTCAAGTTTGGTGCACTTTATATATTTCAAAACATGTTTTTTTATTTTAATGATGCATATAAATAATTTAAATGTTAATTTAATGAAATATTTCTATTTTTTCATTACCTCACCCTTGTTTTGACAAAAACGGGACCTTGCTGGATAATATCATGGAGAAACTATTTGTTCACAGTACTTGGCTCAGTGAGGATCTGTGTACCAAAGGAGGAGATACTCAGAAATCTGTCTGCAGATTGTTACAACCCAGACTGGAAGTGGTGGGCTGTAATAAGAAAGGAGACCAAACAGAGGAGTGGGGGTTCAACAACTGATTTATTTAACAAAAGTAAGGATTTACTAAAGCAAGTTAGTGAACAGAAAATGGCCATCTCAAGGTTTTACTCGGATGTCCCTCAGCAGGGTGCAGCACTGTTGAAGGTCATCTGAATGAAAGCTTGATATGCAGTTTCTTTATGAAATGGACAATTATGTAACTCATCAATTAATTATTTGAAAGGATAATTTGTCAATTAAATACTGAAAAAAATAAACAATTCATTAATGAGGCAAGAACTTTTCTCTCTCTCTCTCTCTCTCTCTCTCTCTCTCTCTCTCTCTCTCTCTCTCTCTCTCTCTCTCTCTCTCTCTCTCTCTCTTTCTCTCTGGAAGCCCCACTCTAAGGGAGTTTGCAGTGTATTAGTGAGTCATATATTGTACAACCACAGTCATAAAGTTTTCAATCAGTAGTTTTATTTCAGTATGTATTTTTCCAGTATCACAAAAAATGTAATTTTATATGGTTAAAACCATCTAGCTTATGTGCACTTTTTAAAACACTGCCCAGCAAACCTTCGGACGTTTAATGACAGTTGAACGGTCACAACTGTAAAATACCTGAAATTAAGAAAAATTAACATGACATCTTTTGCATTGTCCTTGCCCGGACTCAAACCTGGATCCTCCGGGGCAAGAGTCACCCGCTCTCCCAGCTGAGCTATGCCAGCAACTATGGAATATCAGACTTTTTTATATAAATAGAGGGTAAAGTGCGGGGTAAACTAACCAATCAGAGGACAGAGAAGATCTGCCACAGGCCACGCCTCCAGAGTGCCAAAAGCTGTGAGGTTCCGAATGTGCCAAAAATGTGTCTATGTATTTATGTGCGTGTCTATGTATTTGGACGCACACTGCACTGCGTTGCTGTAATGTGTGTGTATGTATTTAGATGCGTGTCTATGTATTTGGACGCACACTGCACTGCGTTGCTGTAATGTGTGTCTATGTATTTATGTGCGTGTCTATGTATTTGGACGCACACTGCACTGCGTTGCTGTAATGTGTGTCTATGTATTTATGTGCGTGTCTATGTATTTATGTGCGTGTCTATGTATTTGTACGCACACTGCTCTGCATTGCTATAATGTGTGTCTATGTATTTATATGTGTCTATGTCTATGTATTTAAATGTGTCTATGTCTATGTATTTAAATGTGTCTAAGTCTATGTATTTAAATGTGTCTATGTATTTAAATGTGTCTATGTCTATGTATTTATATGTGTCTATGTCTATGTATTTAAATGTGTCTAAGTCTATGTATTTAAATGTGTCTATGTATTTAAATGTGTCTATGTCTATGTATTTAAATGTGTCTATGTCTATGTATTTAAATGTGTCTAAGTCTATGTATTTAAATGTGTCTATGTATTTAAATGTGTCTATGTCTATGTATTTAAATGTGTCTATGTATTTAAATGTGTCTATGTCTATGTATTTAAATGTGTCTATGTCTATGTATTTAAATGTGTCTATGTATTTAAATGTGTCTATGTCTATGTATTTAAATGTGTCTATGTATTTATATGTGTCTATGTATTTATATGTGTCTATGTATTTAAATGTGTCTATGTATTTATATGTGTCTATGTATTTAAATGTGTCTATGTATTTAAATGTGTCTATGTATTTATATGTGTCTATGTATTCAAATGTGCTATCACAGCACGTGACAACAGCACGAGACAACAGCTCGTGACAACAGCACGTGACAACAGCACCAGACAACAGCACGAGACAACAGCACCAGACAACAGCACGTGACAACAGCACCAGACAACAGCACGTGACAACAGCACCAGACAACAGCACGTGACAACAGCACGAGACAACAGCACCAGACACCAGCACCAGACAACAGCACGTGACAACAGCACCAGACAACAGCACGTGACAACAGCACCAGACAACAGCACCAGACAACAGCACGTGACAACAGCACCAGACAACAGCACGAGACAACAGCACCAGACACCAGCACCAGACAACAGCACGTGACAACAGCACCAGACAACAGCACGTGACAACAGCACCAGACAACAGCACCAGACAACAGCACGTGACAACAGCACCAGACAACAGCACGTGACAACAGCACCAGACAACAGCACGTGACAACAGCACGAGACAACAGCTCGTGACAACAGCTCGTGACATCAGCACCAGACAACAGCACGTGACAACAGCACGTGACAACAGCACGTGACAACAGCACCAGACAACAGCACGTGACAACAGCACGAGACAACAGCACCAGACAACAGCACCAGACAACAGCACGTGACAACAGCACCAGACAACAGCACGTGACAACAGCACGTGACAACAGCACCAGACAACAGCACGTGACAACAGCACGAGACAACAGCTCGTGACAACAGCACCAGACAACAGCACGTGACAACAGCACGTGACAACAGCACCAGACAACAGCACGTGACAACAGCACGAGACAACAGCTCGTGACAACAGCACGAGACAACAGCTCGTGACAACAGCTCGTGACAACAGCACGTGACAACAGCACCAGACAACAGCACGTGACAACAGCACGTGACAACAGCACGAGACAACAGAGAGTAACGACAGACTGAGACAATACATAGACACATTTTTGGCACATTCGGAACCTCATAAAAAGCCCTTACAGCCGAGCTAGCAGGAGTCAGAAACCGAGCGCGCACAGAGGCTGCCGAGCGCGCACAGAGGCTGCCGCGCGTGCACGTTTTCCTCTGCCGTCTGCTCGTTGACAACGCGCGCACGCAGGTTTGTCACTTGTGCACATCCTTGTGCGCTCACAGACACAGTTTGCTCCCTCTCAGTGCACAAATGACCTCTCGCCATGTATATTTTCGCTCGCGAGTCCCGTTCACACGCGCGCGAGTCCCGTTCACACGCGCGCTGTGGACCCAATGCGCGTGCACGGGTTGTGGCACGGGTATGACGCGATACTTGTGCACATCCTTGTGTGCTCACAGACACAGTTTGCTCCCTCTCAGTGCACAAATGACCTCTCGCCATGTATATTTTCGCTCGCGAGTCCCGTTCACGCGCGCGCTGCCATGTATGTTTTCGCTCGCGAGTCCCGTTCACACGCGCGCTGTGGACCCAATGCGCGTGCACGGGTTGTGACACGGGTCTGACGCGATATAACCCGGCCTTGCTAGACCGGCGAGGACCAGTACTCACAAGCATCCTGCTCCTGGGTTCGGACACAGTTAAATCAAAGACGTTTTTTGCACCTTAACTGTGAGAAACTGTGGTAAAGAGCTCTGTCTGAAAGTGACCAATCACTTTAGGGAAAGCGGCTCCTTGGAACCCGCCCCCCAAACTGTCAAAAGTGAAACTTGTCAGATAGAGCAGAGTTTCTACTCGAGAGCAGAGCGGGCTGCGCGAGCGTGTGTTAACAGTTCCACGCGCGAGCGACAGGGACAATTGTCTGTGCTTGACTGGATACAGTGTGCTCTCGGGTCTTTCTAAACACGTGCCAGGTGCTTTTTCGCGCTCGCGGATAGTTTTAAACACGTGCGGAGGACTTTTTGAGCGCTAGTGGATGGGAACTTATCCTCTCACGGACGTTTAATTATCCTCTCGTGACTGTGCGTGCTCTCGCGAGACCTTATTGACATACAATTCAATAATACCTAGCTGCAGCCTCCATCGTGTTAAAAGTTACAAAGAACTCGGAGGTAGAAGAAGGCCAGGCTGGGAAAGGTATGGCTGCTTCTCATTGGACCGTTTTGGAAAATAAGGGAAGGGCTTTAACTCAAACCTGAACTCTCATTGGACAAATGAAACGTTTGTTAGGATATCTTCATTTTATTGGCTGTTTCACGGATGGATTAACGCTTCGTTTACAATGAACAGAAATGGAGAAGTAGGGAGTTCTACACACAGTGGATTGTAATTTTTGTGTAGCATTAAAATTTATGTTGTCGGTAGCACACCCGCAGATATCCTTTTCGTATTTAAACGTGATACTTTAGACTGACAGACAATTTGTCAATTTGCTTTGCTACAGAACAATGAAACACTCAGGCTAACGTTATGTAGCTAATCTCATTTATCTGTCGGAAAGACCGCTAGCTAGCTATTATTTCACACCGTTGCAAGTCCAACAAACAGGTAAGCAAGTTGTCTGTTTTAATAATATCCTTTCACGTTGTTTTAGAAGTGATCAGAAGACCTATGTGACACAAACACGTCCGCGACGGGATACATCTGGGCTCGTCTCTTCGCCATGTCGGCGTTAATGATCACCGTAATGACCTTACGACATCAAGGCTTTTACCAGTGAGTCTCACCTGTTGGCTCAACCTGTTTGCAGGTATGATCGAGTACAAGCTGGTGGTTGTCGGGGCTGGAGGTGTGGGGAAGAGCGCTCTCACCATCCAGCTCATCCAGAACCACTTCGAGAGCGAATATGATCCCACCATCGAGGTGAGAAAACCCGGCCACCGTGTCCGTGTCTAAAGTTACTGCTAGCAGTTCTGGCCTGTTTATTGTTATTCTGTTTTGTTTTTTACTTAAACCCTTCATTGATTTGACTTTTCTTTATTAAAAGTGTTGAGATTAAAGTTTGATCTGGCTGATAAAGACATGGCACGGTTTAATCTAGACTGACTTGCATATAAAAAGATAATTTCCTTCAATCCACAGCAGTGTTTAATTAACAGATGTTTGATTCATTACTGGAGCATGAGTCTTTCATAATTGTAAAGCGGTAACTAATAAATCAAACCCTTTTCTGTGTGCCTGTACAGGACTCGTACAGAAGGCAGGTCGTGATTGACGGGGAGACGTGTCTGTTGGACATCCTGGACACTGCAGGTCAGGAGGAGTACAGCGCCATGAGGGATCAGTATATGAGGACGGGAGAGGGCTTCCTGTGTGTGTTTGCCATCAACAACACCAAGTCCTTTGAAGATGTTCACCTTTATAGGTACCAGCCAGCTCATATGTAACAACAGTGATCTCAGATTTGAAGGTCTGGTTGTGTGTGTGTCCTCTTTAGAGAGCAGATCTACAGGGTGAAGGACAGTGACCGCGTTCCCATGGTGCTGGTGGGGAACAAGAGTGACCTGAGCACCCGCACGGTGGAAACACGACTGGCTCAGGAGCTGGCACGAAGCTACAGTGTGCCGTTTGTCGAGACTTCTGCCAAAACAAGACAGGTACACAGAAATGGCCTAAACACCTGCATTTAGCTGCGCTTGTGGGAAATGATGTTCTGGGTTCTTGATTTGTTTTTCTGATTTGCAGGGTGTAGAGGAAGCCTTCTACTCTCTAGTGAGGGAGATTAGAAGATACAAAGAGAGCAAACGCAGCAGCAAGAAGAGCAAGAAGAACACTCAGAGACGCTGCATTATACTATAGCGCGCACACACACACACACACACACACACACACCATCACTGAGAGCACTTGTTTTACTCTGCTCCCTCTGGAAACATCCAGCTGGAAAACAAATGTGTCCACATCCTCTTCTTTCAAGTGACCAATAGTTATTGATTCATTTGAGACCAACGTCCATTTTTTTTTTACATAACTTCACTGTAAAATAGTTCAATTTTACACTTTGAGTCAAACCAGCTGATGAGGTCAGTCCAAATTACCATTGATTACTTGTGGGAATCAACACTTCCCTTTTTTTCCTAAAGCTTTAGGTTTGAACTTTACAAGAAAACAAACGTTTTATTTTTAATAGTCTCTTAGCTAGTATCTCACCGGGCTGCATTTGTTTGAGAGAAATTACGATCAACTCCCTTGCATTGAGTCACAGGGGCTTGATCTTATGCCTAGAATTCTAAATATCTAATATTTTTGCCGGACACGCTCACGTTTCTGTGAAAAAGTTGTTGCTGTATTCAGAAACCTCTCTAAACATACTTCAGAGTTTCTGAGATGTGCCAAAATTCCAACCCCGTTCGGACCAGAGTTCCTACATGTTTCCTTTTTCAAAGTTTTCCACACTCCGTTTTAAAGCTGTGGAATGCTGAAAACTCAAGATTTTGTTTATTATTTCTGATTTTAATCTGTCACTCTGTTATTCGTTTAGGCTGAACTTGGAAAACAGGTGTAGGAGACTATCTGCTGCATTAGAAAATAAACGTTCATGGGCTCGCCCTTCTCGACTTACAACGGGGAAGGTTGTTGTTTGAGCATCAAGGAAACCGTAGAGAACGTCTTGACAAGTAGAAGCTAACCATTAGCAACTCCGCCACAAAGCAGAACTCCTTCAAGCTCGTGTAATATGTGGAGATAAAACATCAACATTGCAAACTGAGTCAGTGAGTCACGTTGACGTGAGATGTCCAAAAATCAGGAAATGGACTACAAATTCTGTCATTTCTTAAAAATAAAACTAAATCCTGCACGTCCATCCTCTTTTCTGGAGTTGGGTCAAAGGGGCAGCCGCCTAAGCCCACTTGGGCCAGCTCCTCCAGGGAATCTGAAGATGTTCCCTGGCCAGATGAGAAACAGTCCCTCCAGCGTGTCATGGTTCTTCCTTTAGGTATCCTGGTTGGACGTGCCCATTAAACCTCACCAGGTAGGCGTCCAGGAGACCAGATGCCTGAGCAACCTCAACCGGCCTCTCAATGTGGAGGAGCAGCGGCGCTACTCTGAGCCCCTCCCAGATAACCAAGCTTCTCACCCTATCTCTAAGGGTCCCAGACTCATTTTAGAGTATAACTAGGGCATGCAGAAATATGTTGTGGCTAATCCAAAGCATCTGATTGGCTTTTACATCATTAAAAGCAGTGGGGACTAAAATGTCCGTCTTATGTATAAAAATATGAAGGAATCGGTGGCTTCTCTTAAAAAAACAAATTAGAATTTTTAAAGAACAAAAATCTATTTCATACTGGATAACTAAAACACTTAAGACGAGAAAAACAGCTCATTTGCACAATTGTGAGTTTAACATCCAGATCAGTTCCAGCTAAAACTTTCTGGGTGTTTTCTGATTTCTCGTAGCCAGTCAGCCCAGTGAGATGCTCTCTCCTCAGCCTCCGAGGCTTTAATCACGCAAAGAAAAAACCATCAACCTGGCTCAGGATGTTCGTTAAAGCCTCACCCCTTTAGTAACCTGTGTGTTCGGGTCGGTGCCATTTTAAACGTTTACTCAGGATCTTCAATCAGCCACTGAGTAACCGTGCTGCTCCACTCGGTGTTACCACTGCTTCTGGTCACATGGTAACAGTATGTAGTAATAACTGCGTCTACACACTGTTGCATCACTGCACCAGGCAGGCATTACTGGCAGCGTTTACCACAGGTGATGCTCGACGGTTAGGAAATCCAACAAAGCATCCATTTCTGGTAAATGGATTGTTGGTTTTCTATTTTTGTAGAACCACTGAGTGCATTCTGCAGTGTAGTAAAACGCTGAATGCACACTTGATAAAGTGGTGAGTGAGCTACCTCCACTGTGAGGGTGAGCAGCTGGCTCGTCAGACTAGGAGCTCCTAAACCTGAGCTGTGGTTCTCAGAAGAAGGCATCAAATCTGTCACACACGCTTCATTTGAACAAATTAAAGTCTTTGGCACGTTTACTTTTTTCCCCCTGTAGACTTATTCTGAAGACGTAAATCACATGAGAGAAAAATGCTCTTTTGGTCGACGCTGTCAACAAAATGAAGATTTAACGAGATGTGGTTTGAGGTCTAGTTCTTCATCTCTAACAGGACTTTTGGTGGTACTGGTACAGCTGGGCTAAAAGGTCGACCTGCTGCAAGTCCAGTAGCTGTGAGGTTGACTCATAAATGTTTATCACTAATTATAGTAGGAAACCAGAGGTTTAGAAAGAGTTTTGACTTTATTTAATAAAAAAAAAGCACTACATGTCATTTTATCCATTCTAGAAAACATAAAAAGTAGTTATTTGCATTTTTACATCAAAATCCAGAAGTTGAGAGGAATAAGAGAGTGGTGGTGAGAGTCACCACCCAAAACGAGACACCAGCTTGCTCTGGTCATCCAGGTCTTTCTGGACCTTCTTCCTCATGTAGAAGATGGGACAGTCGCGGCTGCAGAGGACAACGTTTACACCGTTACTACCACGCTGCAGCGGTTCAACATGGCCGTCCACAGATCTGGCGAGAACGTGTTGAGTTCGTACCTGGTGCAGAGCACGTCCTCGTGGAGGGAGCCCTGGCAGCGCTGACACTGAGTCCACAGGCGAGAGAAGCGCTCCTCTAGCGTATTCAGATGAAAGATCTGAAGGGAACAGAGTGTTTACATATAAGCTTGAATCTGATATGAAAGAAAAGAAAATAGACATTTTATCCATTCAGAAGTGCGTTTCTGTTAAGTTTGTAATCACAGAAACGACCCAGGCAGCTCTAATGTCTGGGATGGACTGCGTACCTCTTTTTGGTACAGCTCAGATTCCTTCTTCTTGCAGAAGTCACACACAGCCGCTGAAATGACATTAATAATTATCTAAACTTGGTGTGTCGACATGTCATGACCTCAAAAATAAAACTGGGTATAAAAAGAAAGAAACAGGAAATTCAGCCACACACCATCTGTTTTCAGCACAGCTTTGCAGCCGATGCAGGTGCTTCTCTTCTGAGCAAACGCCATGAGGCCTCCGACCTTGGAGGTCAGCACGGTCTTACAGCGCGTGTGTTCACCCTCTGAAACACAGCACATCTCTCATAAGGATCGTGTGACTTTTAAAACGCCTCTCCACACGGGCAACGGTGAGTGTTGGCGCACTTAGCAGGACGCTCTCCGCCTTACTCTCCCCCAGAATGGGCTCAAATATTCTCAGTAGGGGTTTGGACAGCTGCTGCTCCAGGTAGTACTGTGTGTCGATGGGAATGTTGTTCTCCAGCACGTAGATCGGATCCTGAAGCATGGAGGAATCGGAGTTATTACCAGAAAGAAAACAGGAAGAACAGAATACCAGAGCGTGTGAGATGCCACTGCACACCTCAGACTTCATGTATGCTGCCGCTCCCTTTGCTGCCTTGATGATGACGTACGGCACCCGGTCTCCCAGGTTTGGGGCGCTGCCTGCATCCCTTTTCCTCATTCTGATAAAACGACAGTAAAAAGTGAACCTCTAACATGGACTAATAAGAGATGATGGCTGGTTAGTGTTTTCTCAGACCTTTCAGCCAGCTCCACATGAGCCTGCTTGCCAGCGTACTCCTGAGCCGTGCGCGTCAGCTCTTTAGTGATCACCAGCTGGCTGATGTCGATACGATTACACAGCAGGTCTGAAATCACTTCTTTGGCATGACCCACAGCACCTTGTGGATCCCTAAATATGTCACAAAAAACAGGAGTCTGTTATAGCAAATAACTGCGGTTTAGGTCATCATTAAGTGTAAATAAGAACTTCTGTACCTGTCAATAAGGATCTTCTGTAAGCATGTGTTGATAAGATTGGCCACTAGAGGGCAGTTGTCTCTGCGGACAGTCTCAATGCCTTTACAGTCCATCTTGTCGTGAGTGTCTGCACTCGAAGAGAAATACAGTCCTGCATAGCGCTTCTTATTTATCAGCAGGTACGGGTAATAGACCTGTGGAGATCATTAACTCACGTTAGCGTTGGTTAGCCTCTGATGAGCTGAAAGGCACCGAAAACAACTGAAACCATTCAAAAAGTCAAAATGGATACATGGAAAATAAAATAGCCCCATTGCAATATTGGTTGGATTTACTGAGGTGTGGTTCTGTGTGAGATTTAAATGCTACCGTTATGATTTTAGTCTGTGGGAGGAAGCTGGAGAACCCAGAGAAAACCCACACATGCCAACTCCACACAGAGAGGTCAGTGAGGATTCAAAGCAAGCTTCTATTAGTCGAAACATTCTCTGCGGTTTTCCAGACGCTAAACCAGGGGTGTCAAACTCAAACTCGCACGGGGCCGAAATGAAACTCTGGGACGAAGTCGCGGGCCAAACTTAATATTTTTTGAAAAAGTGACGGCAAATTTGCACATTTTCTTTATAAACATATATGCAATTTTGAACCTTTTAATTTGAAAACAGACTTATTTCTGCATTAACACCGAACGTGGACTAACCAAATTACACACGAGCAAGTCCATTTTAAATAATCTGAGTAGTATTCATTACTTGTGGTATAATCAGCATTTTTAAAATCTATTCAGGATTTATGTTTTCTTGTTTATTCATTTTTCTTATTTTTTATTCTCCTTTTTTTCTCCTGTAATACGTGTCATCGCTGCTGTGACATCTAGCTTTCCCCACTGAGGTACAATAAATAGTCTTTGTGGTAAAATCGACCAGCGGGTCAGCTTTAATATATTTTTCATAATTATCTCGGGGGCCACATAAAAATGCTCCGCGGGCCTTGTGTCTGACACAAGTGCGCTAAACCAACAGCCTTCCCTGTCGCAAGCCAAGATGGGTGAGTCCACGAATGTTAAGTGACAGTGTGACGTAGACCTGTCAAAAACTGAGCGTTTTTCCATTTTCTATCAGAAGATATTGGTAGAAGACTATTTTTATGCTCAGCCAGCATACTAAACTCAGGAGGGACTGATCTTTTTCAAAAATGCCGTATTGACCCGAATATGAGACAAGGTTTTTTTCATTGAAAATAATTTTAAAATGTGGGGTCGTCTCATAAACGGGGTCTAAGCATTTACACATGCTGATATTTGTCTGGGGTCATTACACACCCGTAACAGCAGAGGGCGCCAGGCTGTGTGTTCTCAACAGGAGAAAAATGCATAAAGACCAGAGGTCCGGAGCGGAGTGAACAGAACGTTCACAAGCTATAAGCAGAGTTATGCGAATTTTAAAATGGCAGTGGTCTTTTCTGCAGAGGCGTCAAACATCGCATGCATGGATGTATTGGATTGCAGTGAGGATGACGTTTTGGGGGGAGTCGGCAGGTGTAGCCATCTGATGGTACACCGAGACCGCAGCAGTGTGAGTGAGAGTGAGTACAGCGAGAGGGCGCCTGAATAAAAGCTTCATTTGACTTTTGATTTCACATGTCAGCAAAATAGTATTTTTGCTCAGTATTTGTTCTCAAACTTTCAGAGAAAATAGTTTATTTAAAAAGTTTTTTTTTGTTGGTCTTTTCCTGAAGATTAGTCTTGGAAAGTCTTATTTCAGGGTCGTCCTATATTCGGTTTAATACAGCAAGTCAAAAATGGTGTCTCAGCTAAGCTGCTCCTTAAAGGTTTTGTACTTTTTGCAAACTAAAAGTTCTTTAAATGGAGTTCTACACATTTTGTAAGTATTTGCTCGGCTGCAATGTATCTGGTATGTGAGAATGTAAAAAAAATGGACAAATATATTAACAGAAGAGAACATATTTTCGATAAATATTGTTTCCTCGCGTGTGTCAGATATATAGATCTGAGGTCACATCGCTGCTCTCTAACGACGAGACCAACGTGTCCTGCTGAAGGCTCACCTTCTCAAACTCCAGCTTGATTGGGGGTGTAAAATGGGAAGACACCCAGGCAGCTGCTTCCCTCCCGATATCCATGGCCTCCTTCACAGTAGCAACTCCAAGCTTGACCATGACGGAGTCCGTGTCTCCGTAGATGACCTTACAGGAATTATTAGTAAACACACATATTTCAGTGTTTACGACACAAACAAGTCTGGTTTATCAGGAATCAGAGGCGTGTTCCTCACCTTAGCATCAGCGTCACAACCATTGGAGATGGTGTACTTGGACTCCACCAGCTGCTTGGTCCGCTCAATCATCTGTCTTCCAAAACCAGTCACACTCTGAACAACGGACACGTCATCGGTTCAAATTCTGTTACCATTCTGGGAATTGAACTGTTGAAATTACATTTGTTTCACCCAGGATCAAAAGCACCGGCCTCTTTGAGCGTGATCAATACATCATGATTTTCATGGACTCTTGAGTTAGAAACTAGGGATGCACTTTTTTCCAAACCGATACGATACTTGGATCTGAATACTCGCCAATACCGATTACCGATACCTATACTTCTACCACACAAAAAAATGCAATGATTTGGAATGCAGATTTTATTTTCTTCTCTGCCTTCAACAGGAAAAGACTGTGAGGTAGATAAAAAGTAAAATATATGAATGGAAATCATCACAAAACTAAAATATTAGGTGAACAGAAATGACAAGTTACAGTGAAGCCATTTTCAAGCAACTGCATTGGCATCGGTTCCTGGTATCGGTTAACTTTTACCGATACTGAGACCAGTATCGTATCGGTATCTGCACCGATACGGATACTATCGGTGCATCCCTATTAGAAACCATAATTATGCTGGTCAGATTTCTATTAAGACCTCAAACCAAAAGAAACGCTGAGTCTGTTTAGTCAAACTTTAGCATAAATAGGAATTATTTATTAAATGTCCCTGTTTATAGGATTAAAACAGCTGATATGATAACTTTTCTCAGGCCAGAAGGACACCGTCTTTTACATAAAGTATAAATACTTCTGATACAACTTTCTATGATGATTTATTTACAACAGCTCTTTGGCACCATTTGTTTACACTTCTGTCTCCACCTGCTAAAACAAAACACCTGTGGTGTGGTTTTTATTTAAATGCTCATCTTCACTCTGCATCCCCGTGGTTTACCGCTCAGGCGCCGACATCCCATCAGCGCACAACCGTGTGAGAGGAAACTCAAACAAGGGTAAACCCCAACCTGGAACCTGGAGTCCAGCTGTTCCACTCTGAGTGGTCATCACGCCCCAGGTGCTCACCTGTGAGATCTCCAAGCAGGGCAGCTTGCCCACCTGAGCCCCGGTGAAGCCGTAGACGGAGTTCGCACTGATTTTCAGAGCCAGCTGTCGACCATCCAGCACCTGCTTCTTAAAAGGGTCCGTTTCACTCTTCAGCTCTGCCTTGGCCCTGTGGACAGACGATAGACGAATCCAAGAAAGGACAAAACACCTGGAACATCTGGCTTAGTCCACAACACACACAGAGGATCAGAACCAATAGTTTTTATTAGGGGTGTAATGGTTCACGGGGGTTATTTGAACCGTTTCGGTTTATTTTTCCCGTTAAATAATGAACTTTTCACACAATCGCACAAATTAAGCGCAGATAAAAGTTCCTCGGGGAGTTTCCGCTCAGACGCTGTATTGAATGACGCATGATGGCTGCACGCGCCCGATCTCCGTTTAAAAAACGTGATCTGCAAATTCTGATCAAAGTCTTTCGGAGCGGATCAAACCAGTTGACTGTTGCAGCTGCAGTGGAGTCCGTGTAGAGACTCTGAGCACCGTGTCGCCTCTCCCTCCCTTCTCTCACAGTGTGCAGGCACACAGCGGCAAACATGTCTGCTGAACCTTTCCGCTGGGACAACTGATGTAAAGTTTTCATCCTACAAAGAAAAATACGGTGCGGAGGATGCTCGTAATTTAATATGAGTTTTAAAGAAGAAACTCTGCGGTGTGAGGTGAGCGTTTAAGAAATAAAAACATGTCAAACACAACACTCGTCTGTATGAGAATGAGCTGCGCCAATCATAGACATGAATACGTAGACGCCCCGTTGGGCGCTGGAGTGTGTAAAAGCGTCGCTGCCATGTTGGATGGGTCTCCTCACTCTCCAAAGTCAATGCAGAGTGAGCAACTATGCCCTTTTCCGTGCAGCCTACGGTTACAACAACCAGCGTACTATTGATAACAGATCACGTGGGATTACTAGTGACTTTTCTAGCCTACCTGATAGGATTTTATATTTAATATTTATTTTTAATTAATTATATTTATATTTTAATTAATTTTATCATGCCGTACCTTGTGTTTTATTTTGTGAAAAAGCTTGATAAAACGTGTTTTTTAGTTGGGTAAGCACCTTCCTCAGTAGAAATGAATGCACTGGGGGCTAATCTATCTAAAATGGCGGTTGGCCAATACGGCATCTCCAACAGGCAGCGACTGTCGACGGGGCATCTGTGCATGTACAGAGTATCTGCAGGTTTAAGGGAGCCAAATTTAAGACTTTTTAAGACCTTTTTTAAGGCCACTTTGACCAAATTTAAGCTACTTTTGAAATTAAATTTAAGCTATAATTTCTAGCTATTGCCTGGAACCAGTGCTAACCACATCGCAAAAGTGGGATTAACCATCCAGTTACCATCAAACTTGCACTTCCCCATGGCGCAAGCTACCACCAGCTTAACCAGCTAATGTGCTCATCTAAAAATAGTCCCCTTTCACAAGCAACTGAATGTGTACGGTTCCGCTTACGCCAACATCATACACAAAAATGCTGAACACTAACTAGAAATTCACAAAATTTAATAGAAACAAAATGATTTTGTTTATTGGGTCTTTGGTCATTTAAGACCTCTGGAAACTGTATTTAAGGATTATTTGTCATTTTAAAGGATTTTTAAGGCCTTAAATTTGGAAAAGCAAATTTAAGAATTTTTAAGGACACGCGGATACCCTGCATATATGTCTGTGGCGCAAATAACCTGAGAAGTAATTAAATACTTCATGCTAGATTAGCAGCCTGTGATGACCCCTGGTTCTGCTCACTATAGGAGCCACTTCAGATATTAAATAATTAAATAAATCTAATAACCGGGCGACGGTGGCACAGGAGTTAAGTGCTCGTCCCGTAATCGGAAGGTTGCAGGTTCGAGCCCCACTCAGTCTGTCGCTGTCGTTGTGTCCTTGGGCAAGACACTTAACCCACGTTGCCTGCTGGTGGTGGTCGGAGGGACCGGTGGCGCCAGCGCTCGGCAGCCTCGCCTCTGTCAGTGCGCCCCAGGGCAGCTGTGGCTACATTGTAGCTCATCCCCACCAGTGTGTGAATGTGTGTGTGAATGGGTGAATGATTGATTGTGTTGTAAAGCGCCTTGGGGGGTTTCGAGAACTCTAGAAGGCGCTATATCAAATACAGGCCATTTACCATTTACCATTTATAATAATAATATACCGAAAATTAATCGAACCGAGCCCTTCAAAACACTGAAACGAACCGAATACGAGTTTAGCGTACCGTTGCACCCCTAGTTTTTATTGGAAGAAATGGGATCCTATGGAAATTCTGCTTTCAATTAAATAATCAATTGGTGATTGTTCTTTTAGTTCTAACCTTTTTCTTGCAGCAAGCAGATTCTCCAGGATCTCCGGGAGAAGTCCTTTCCTCACAGAACTCTTTACAAACTGGTCACCTGTTGGAGTCTTGATGAAATCTTCAGATGATAATCTGCAGATGTACAGTAAAGGATTTTAAAAATTAACAGCTACAGCTAATGAGAACAATAACACAAAAAAAAAACCAACATGTTCACCCCAGTTTTTCTGCAGATCCTTTCTGCAGCAGCGTGGTGTAACAAAGGTTGTGAGCCATCATGATGGATGGATACAGAGACGAAAAGTCCAGGGTGGCAATAGGAAGGCTGTAATATCTACAAACCAGTTTTAATCAGACACACAGGAGGAGGAGTGTGGCTCCATACCAGCATAACCAGTAAATATGCCCCCACCCTTTCTCTGGTTCGATGACCGTAGCTCCAGTGTAGTCCTCCCCACCTTCTGTCTTTACTACCGGCATCACCAGGTCCTGTTTCATCGCCTAGAACAGAAAACACACACATTATTTTCTACACACACCCCAACATGAGCTGGAGCTGCACAGTTTGAGCCTTTCTGGCACTGATTTTGTAAAGAAACTGATATTATTCCAACGTACTGTTCTTTAAAGTCTAGTTGGAAGCAGCAGTAAATGCTTAGGCACTTTCTGAATATCATTTAGGGTTAGTGATGAATCCTTGCCTCATTCTGAGCTGCAAACCGAACAGCATCTCTCTCTGAGCCATTCAAGACAGCCCACTGACTATGCATGAGGTATTATGTGTGCATTTAAAAGCCAACCCCATGTTTATATGAATCCCTGCTGGATAAATATGTCTGATTCTCACAGAGCTGCACGGTCATGTGTGATCTGGTGGCATTTGTGAAAAAGCAAAAGTTTAACTGAGAATGAGAAGAGATCAGACGAACTACTGCCTCCACAGAAAGAGGACAGGCGAGTCGGGTAAAGTGTTATTCACCACTCGTTCCAATCTGGGTCTAAACCAGCTTCCACTTACTTTGCTCTTGTTACAGCTTATCAGATGTTATGGTAGGTAGCATCTACACAGAGACTCCAGGTGAGCCAGGCTCATGTCACAAGGTGAAAACACACAAGTGCACCTCTGTAACGTAAACAAAACCGTTTTGAGTTTGAGATTGTTTTTCCCCACCTGTCTCAACAGCTGAGACACGACTTTGATCTGCTGTCCTCTTGAGAGCAGGTAGGTGAGCGGTACTCCAGTCACTCTGGCCATCTCCATGTAGTTAATCACACACATGAGCTTCTGCAACAGCCGCAGCGGCAGATAGGCGTCTTTCAGACAGTAGACCGCCAGTCTACGCCGCGTTTGTTCATTTCCATTCTGGTGAGGAGGGAAACAGACGATAAGAGATTAAAAACTGAAAAAATATATATATGCATCTCTTGTTCTATCTCAACTCATCAAAGCAAGGCAATTATCTGACCTAACAATTTATAAAAGCAGTCAAACCTGAAGGGGCCATAACCCGACCCATGGACTCCTACCTGCAGATCGGTGATGATGGAGTGCTGCACGTCCTCCTTTTGCTCTTGCAGGAAATGAAAGCTTACAGCATTCAGAGTGTAGGAGCGTAGTTTGTAATCCCTAAGGAGGACCTGAGAGAATCACACAAACAGACATATCCTGAAAACATCACTCACAGAGCCTAGTGTAGAGTAACCAGAAGCTACATGCCGACCTGCAGCAGATCAAACTGGACTCGACCTTCCATGTTGATGGTTTTGTTCTCCCTGCGACCCATCTGCTTACTCTGGAAACTCGACTCTCGTAAAACGGACCGTTTGCCCCGCATTCGACCCAAGTACGGAAAATAAGTCACCTGGAAAGTCGTGAACATTTTACCAAAGGTGGAGGAGAAAACATAACATCTTTTTCAAAGCAAAGAGGGAGATTTCTTATATTTCAACACAGATTAAACGTGTCTCTGCCAAACCTTTAAAGCAGCTGCCCTGTTGAGCAAATAGGGAAAGTCAAAGTTCTGGATGTTGTATCCAGTTATGATGTCTGGGTCCACCGTCCTCAGAAACTCCGCCCAGCTCTGCTCACACAGAGACAAGATAACAGGACGGATAAGGGACACCGTAATAAAGGGACAAACCTCCCGGCGTGAGCCGTTACCTGAAGAAGCTGCTTCTCCTGAGTGAAGCAGAAGATCTGCGAGCCAACGATGCTAGCACAGGGCTGAAGGGTGAAGACGGTTCGGATGAAAGGCTCCGTCTCCCCCTGACGTTGGACCATAGATGCGATCTGAATCACAGGATCTTTGTCTGGTTCTGGGAAGATTCCTGGAAAGAAACAAATGCATCTTAAAAGAGTTTGTCAAAGCCTTGGAGACGTGTTTAAATCATTTACTGATATTTGGTACAATACAGAAGCCTTCGTATTACCTTTTCTTCCTGCACACTCGATGTCGAAGCTGAGGACTCTGAGAGGGGCTATCCTCTGCCAGTCTCCTTCTGCAGGGTGACTGATCAGATCCGTCCATCCAACATCCACCTCATACTGGCACAGCGAAACCTGCAGGGCAAAAGCAAAAATCTCAACCACCGCTCTAACATTCTTGATGTAAAAACAGAAAACAAGGAAAAAAATCTGTAAATCGGTAGTATGGTTGTCACGCAGATTACAGCACACACTCTATGAAGGAAAACAGGACCGACCTTTCCTGGATGCTGAGAATCTGTGTCCCCGTGGCTCTTCTCTTCGCGTACTCTGTACATGCCTTTGGGAAGTTCGATCCAACAGCATCCCACAACATCGCTGTCCACCATGAACCTGGGAACACAGGGATGCTTTTAGGCTTTACAGCTCTGATTCACTTGTTTGTTTGTTTTCAATACATCTGCTGTGGTCTCTACTATAAATGAATGCCTTGTGTGTCGTTCTCTGTGAGAGGACAAAAGCTCTGGCGTTGGCGCTCCTGTTGCAGGAAGCAGAAGTTAGACGGAGAATGGTGGCGGAAAACAGCAGGATTTGGAGTTTTACTCATTATCGTTTCCTGATATTCTGATCTCACCTCTGATTGGCTAACAACAACAACGTGTCTTCCACCACCTTTTTTTTTTTTGTAAGTCTGAATGAGTTCTGCCATGTTGCAGAGATGCTAACACTAATGGTTAGCCTCTTCTAGCTGGGATGCTCTCTGCCCTCTCCTAGAGGCTAAACCAAGAACAGCCTTCCCTGTCATGAGCCAAGATGGGCGAGTCCATGAACGCTAATTTTCTGTGCGACATAGATCTGACTAGCTTTTCTAATCCGAGTCTTTCCCCATCTACTTTCTATCAGAAGCTAATGCAGGAAAAAGGGGTAGAAGACTATTTCACCTTCAGCCTGCATGAAAAACTCAGAGTGACTATGTTTAAAAAAAAGAACAAATAAAAAACTGTTTCTTACTGAACTTGGGTCTTTAAAAACGTAAAGATCAGTCTCTTATATGAAGACGTCTCTTGAAATGATAAATGCAGTTACTAAAAGTTCACGATTAGTTAGAAAAACTCAAGATATTAATTGTTTATATGTGTCCTTAATCAATTCATATCCACAAAAACACTATAAGTTGTACTAAGTGTAAATTTCACAGCTTTTTTTTTTGGAAACTAAAAACAGCTCTGATTTTAGAAGAACAAGACAAACAACCCTGATCATTTAAACATCTTTTGTCTGTTTTGTAATAAACACTCTTTACCCTTTCTTCTGTTTTAAAAGACACACCTGATTTCAAAGTCTATGTTGGCCTCATAGGCTTGGTAGTTCTGGATGGGGTAGTGTCCAAACTTAAAACCTTGTTCCAGCAGACGCTTTGCGGGTGCAATCAGACGAGGCATCGCCATGGTTATCCGCAAGAAGTCCAGAGAGCGTTGTCCGTGGTAGCCATACATGCCTTTAGGAAAACAAACAAGATATTTGCATTCATTCTTCCCTTTATTATCTGTTCAAACACTTTGTTTCAATGGCAAAATGGTTGTACAAAATGTAAGAACACTTTCATCACTTTACTAATAATTTCTAATGAACATTTGGGAGCTCAAATGAAGCAAATAATCTAGCCAAATGTAAACTAAATGAATAACAACAACAAAAAAAAAAGGATTAGCTCCTTCTTTTTTGAACTCACTCTCTTTACGTGTGATGTCCACAGCCAGCACTGTGATGGAGATGTTGTCCTTATTGGAGCGCATGTCCTTCAGCACAACAGAGTTCAGCTCTCTTTTAAATTCACCCAAATAATCTGGCTTGAACCCTTTTAAAAATAAAAAACAAAACCATTTTGAGTTTGATGATCAAACATTCATTTATGCGTTTTTTCTAAAAAGATAAAACTACACATCAGTGTGAATAAGAAAAAATCTACCGGCTGTCTGATTATTTGATATAGCGCCTTCTAGAGTCCTACAACCCCCCAAAGCACTGTACAACATTCACCCATGCACACCCATGATGAACACACACATTCACACCCTGGTGGTAAGGAACTACAATGTAGCCACAGCAGACCTGGGGGTGTATTGACTGGTGCCATCACCAGCAAGCAAGGTGGGTCTTGCCCGAGGACACAACCTTTGGATTACGGGGCAGACACCTAACTCATCTGCCGCCGTCGTCCCCCCTTTCTACCACAATTAACTTGCAAACAAAAACACTCACTACAATAAGATTTTATTGTTTAATCATGTTAGAAGACTGAAGTGCTTACCATTTGGTGCAGGAACATAAAAGTAAGGTGCAAAGCCATGAACATGACAGCACACACTGTTGCCACTGTCCGTTACACCAAACATCCTGATGATTGGCACGTTTGCTTGTGACTGACCGGGCATGCCGGCAACAGATGGACCTGAAAAATGTTTAAAATCTTTTATTTAATTTCCTCATCTAACCAGCAGTCTCCTCTGCTTCTAAAATGTTTTAAGTCCAACAGGGTAGGCGGTGAAAGTCCGGGTGCAGATTTTGTGTTGGTCATTACCTAAATAATAGTCGAGATCGATCTGCTGGAACACCAAAGTATCAGATGATGAGTTCAGCATGGGGGCATGAGGCCTCTTCCAGCGAGGGTTTAGGTCTGCTGAGAAAAGATCACCTGACAAAAAAAGGGGGGTTGCAACCAAAGGGGGTCAAAGTAAACAGATATTATGAATGATGTTTACACTTTTACAATAGTGGGATGCAATGTGGGACTGGAACTTTTCTACATAAACTGATCCAAATGATGTTTGAAACGTGTGATGGTGCAAGCAACACTAACCCACAGGAATGACATCATGTCCTGCCTGCCCCTCCATCTCCTCCATATCCATTTCCATATCATCAAACATGGATAACTCTTCCTCAAACTGTGATGGGTTGTCCTCCCAGTCATCTGTTGTTTTTCCTCTTTTGGCCTGGGATGCACCACCCATGACGGGGCCGCCATTACGCCGTTTAAAGTCCATTCCTACAAATCAATCAAAGGAAAACAATAGAGCCAGGTGTTTTGTTAGACGTGTTTTGGAGATGGAAAAGAAAAACATTAATTTAATTAAGCTGATACTTGTGATGTCATAGAAGTAAATGCTACATTACTAAACAACTGTTTACTTCTCTAAGTACTTTCTCCAGTCATCAAGTAAAGTTTATTTTAGGCAGATATCCTTCTTGATCTCATAAAAAATATATTTTTTAAAGTACACTACTTAATGGTAGATTTAGTATGGTATAAATGGGTTTTTTAAAGAATAAATGCTGTACAAGTTATACTAATTGAATACAGGGACAAAAGAAGTAGTTACCTGCTTGAGTAAAAATAAAAGATTTACTTTTAGAAAAGTTGGAAGAGTAAGCATCCAAGACCAAATGAGTGCTGCAGGACTCCTGCTAGTTTCAACCAACACAACTAGCATCACAGCACAGCTCCTTCCGTAGCAACGGATGATTTATCAAGTAACAGACTTTTTCAATACCAGAGGGAACTTTTATCCCACGTGGTGGTGTTTTGCTTTTACAGGTACGATAATGTCCGGCATAATAATCCAGCGATAAAGTTTGTGGCACGTGATTACCATGGTGAAAGCTTTCTTTGCTAAGGGGACTGAAAAGTAAAGCTAGCAAACGCGGAAGTAAACATTAAACGGTCTCGCGCCACGGCGCTAACTCTATTAAAGCCCCTAGGACAAACATTAAAGCAGCTACGTCTGTAATGAAGCTATAAATACCTCTAAAATATTGTCCTCCACTACTCACTCCGACCGACAACAGCTCCCGCCACTCTTCTTTAATTTGTGAACTTTCGCCGCCGAAAGCGCGGAAAAAAATGTTTTCCATCCGGTTGCTAGACGCAACAGTAAAGGATTGGACAATGACGTAAGAATAAATGCCGGAAGTGCTGTAAAATCTATCGGTGGCAAGGAGGAAATTTAGTTGAATCTGACTAAACCTAGTACAAGAAAATAACCGTGTGTTCCCGGCAAAAAGACGTCAGAGTATACGCAGAGGAAGAGAGTTTTTTTTTTTTTTTTTGCCATGGCAGAACATTTTTTTATTTGCACAAAACATAATGTAGAACAATTATGGCAATCTCTACAACGATTCAGCTTTACCAACATGAGATAGTATCAGAACAGGCTGAATTCCAACATATAGAAGAAGGATAATGAACAGGAAGTACAAACAACAACAAATAAATAAATAAATAAAATAAAAACAAACCCCAAACAGAATCAAAGTAAACAAATAAGCAAACAAATGAACAAAAAGACAGATAATTAAAAAAACATAAAAAGTCATACCTTAGGGGCTTTAACAGATCTAGTTCAACAATCATATGATTCAAATCCAGAGCTTGTTTTTTGACCACAAATTTAACAGATGAGAAAAAGAGGCAGAGTTCTTTGTGAAAAGGAAAAAAAGACGGCTTTGTTTTCAGAAAATGACATTTGTGAATGAAGAATTTGCCCATAATAATTATTACATTTAAAACATTTTCAAGCTTCTTTTCTTTTCTTAGAGAACCAAACATAATATCATTTTTAGAAAATTCAAGTAAGTTTGGGATCTTAGGGAAGAGCCAGTAGTGCACATCGTTCCACAGGGCTTTACAGAATATACAGTCATAAAATAAATGTTCTGTTGATTCAATATCCCCATTACAAAAAGAGCAACAATTATCATCAGTAGCGAAGCGACGTCTGAGAAATTCTTTGGAAGGGTAAACACCAGAGAGGATTTTGTAGTGGACCTCCTTAGCTTTGGGAGGAATGGGAAGTTTTAGGTAGTTTCTTCTGATCTCTTTCTTTTGATCACCGGAGAACAGATGTGAGATGGAATTTGGATTGGATATATAAGGGAAAAAAACATTAGTAAATAATTCCCTAGTGTGGGAGTTTTTTAGACTGTTAGCTGTTATGTTATGCCCATTTACCAAACAGTTCAGGGGAGATCAGGGGATCTATAGTCAGGGTTTTGAAAAAGATTATATGCTGTACATAGAATGTTTTGAGGGATAACCTTAGTAATTTTTTGAAATTCTTTGTTATTTATTTGCAGATCATAATTGGCGGTAAAATCTTCTAATAAAATTTTACCTCTATCATTTAACAAGTGCATTACTGACCAGATGCCCTTATCGTACCTTTTTCCCATAAAGATTGATTTGTTTCCAACTGTTATGTAACAACAGTTCCATAGGGGAGTGTTGTGTGAGCTATAGTTATGTTTGTATATTAATTTCCAGTATAATAAAACTTGCTGGTGAAAGGAAGAGAGCTTTATGGGGAGTTTTTTAATGTCAAAGTCACATCTAAGTAAGAGATTAAATCCGCCTAGGTCTGAGAATATTTTGCTTGGAATGTGAAACCAAAGGCTATTTTGACTTCTTAAAAATGACCTAAGCCAATTTATTTTTAGGGTGCTGTTTAAGCTGTCAAATTCAATAGCTTGCAAACCTCCATCTTCAAAACGTTTGACTAAATTACCTTGCCTACTGTAGTGGGTTTTGCGTTTCCATATAAAATCAAAGTTTAGCTGGTTGATAGCTTTGATTGCTGATTTAGGCACTCCTATCGCATATGCAGGGTATACTAGCCTGGAGATACTTTCCATTTTGGTAAGAAAAATTCTACCTAGAATCGATAGGTCTCTCTGAGCCCAGTTATTTAAATGAGTTCTACAGGTTAGAATTTTCTCCCAAATATTAAGGTTATCTAAATCATTCTTATTCTTGGTTATTTACACACCCAAATATTTGACATTGGATTTAAAAGGTATATTAAAAGTGTTAGAAATAGTACAATCATTTAAGGGTAAGATCTCACATTTGTTTAAATTCAGCTTTAACCCTGAAGCTTTCGAGAAAGTTTCAATAATCTGCAGGATTTTGGGGATTTCATTCAGGTTATTTAGGAAAATAGTTGTATCATCGGCTAACTGGCTGATAGAGAGCTCTTTACCCAGGATAGATAGCTTACCAAACTCAGCATTTTTAATCAGTATGGAAAGCATTTCTGTTGCTGCGATAAACAACAATGGCGAGATTGGACAACCTTGTTTTATTCCTCTGCAAATCCTAAATCTTTGTGAGGTGCCACGTGGAAGACACACTGAACTGTTAGTATCTCTATACAGTAATTTGATTAAATTAATGAAGTTACCTCCAAAACTGAACAAATCAAGGGCCTGAAACATAAATTCATGTTCTATCATGTCGAAGGCTTTGTAAAAATCTAAAAAAAAGGACAAAACCCTGGTTTTCAATTAGGTAGTTGTAGTCAATCAAGTCCAAAATAAGGCGGATATTATTATGGATTGAGCGGCCTTTCATAAATCCAGACGGAGTGTCAGAAATAATTTGAGTTATGCCCGATTTTAACCTGTTTGCAAAAATATGTGTTAGAAGTTTATAATCATTATTTAATAGAGTAATTGGTCTTAAATTATCAAGAAGAGTCGGATCTTTCCCAGGTTTTGGTTTGAGTGTAATTACCCCTTGTTTCATAGTGTGTGTGAGAGACCCATTTTCTAAAATTTCTGTGAGCATTCCAAACACAAGGGTTCTAATAAGAATCCAAAAGTGTTTGTAAAAGTTGCTGGTCAAACCATCACAACCTGGTGCTTTATCTTTGAGTAAAGCATTTAAAGCTCTATCTAACTCTTCAATGGAAATTTTGCCCTCACAGGTCTTTTTAAAATTTTCATCAATTTTAGGAATCAAGTGTTTGATAGATTGAAAGAATGTCTCAGCCAATGGTCTAGAGCAGGGGTGTCAAACTCATTTTAGCTCAGGAGCCACATTGAGGGAAATCTAGTCCCAAGTGGGCCGGACCGGTAAATTAAAAACAACTTCAGATTGTTTTCTTTGTTTTAATACAATCAATATAAAACAAGGCTGGAGCCTGAGGACAGTGTATCCAAAATAGTACAAGTACAACACCTGAAGTGTACTTGAAAATTTGAATAAATCAATAAATAAATAAATAAATAAATAAATAAACATTCCTTAGTGATTCAAAGAGCTTACAGATCACATGGCTAGATCAGTTTCATGCAGCACTTAAAGTATATTTGACTAATTTTACATCTTTTAGCTTTCACCGGCACATCAATATCAGAAGTCACATCCTGAGTGGCAGCTCCAACTTCAGGATGTGATTCAAGTTCTTGTGTGGGCCTTGAGCGCAGCTTTGTTGCATTTATACTCATTACAGAGGTAACTTGCTCACAAAGATGAGTTTATTTTCACTCTACATTGTAAAGTATGAAAATAAAGTTTACACAACCATTTCGCGAGCCGGATTTAACCCGTTTCCGGGCCGGATGCGGCCCGCGGGCCGCATGTTTGACACCTCTGGTCTAGAGTATGAAGAGGAGTACAAATTACTGTAAAAGGTAAATATTTCTTTAGATATTAATTGAGAGTCAGTGCACAGCCGACTATCAATTTGTAGACTATTTATAGCATTCCTCTCTTGTCTTATCTTTTCTAATCTACAAAAATATGCTGTACTTTTTTCGCCATCCTCAATCCATTTGGCTCGGGATCTCATATATGCTCCTTTGGCCTTTTTAGTATATCTCTCATTCTTGAGAGTCGGGACAAAACATGTCCTTCATAAAAACATGTACTTTAGGTTAAAATTAAAAATTAATTATCATGATTTACTTTCTTGCCATGTTTAATCTAAATGAAATCTTTATCTTAACTTCATTATTAGTGCAAATTTCCTTTCTCTTTAGAAAAAATATTGCTTTAATATTTAGTTTGTGCTTAGAATGTTTGTTATTTTATTTGTCTTCACCACAAAGTCACAATTATCCTCAGCCCCAAAAACTTGAAAAAAGTGTAAAAATGTGAATACATAAATATAAATTGAAAGACAATCATTACAAATATGTGAAGCAATGCTTGAAGTAAACATAAAATTATATTTTTCATAAAAATCTGCTTGCCAAAGTTGTGTCCTCAGTTTCTGTCAACTCCGTCAGATTTTTCATAAACTTCTTTTAATCAGGCAATAGCATGGTCATCTGTGTCACCGAGGACCCTTTTGAGTTTCCCATGCTGTGCTGATAACAGCACTAGCACACCTACTCTGGTAAGTTTAAAACTTTGAGATATTTTACACAAATACTGTCAACATTTCTACCGTCACAACTGGACCATGTCAACACCATCTTTCCAATGTGATGTGTGTTTTTAAAAAAAAGGCAATTTAACTTAGGCATTTTAGTGAGGTTACTGAGACAGCTAGCAACTAAGGAAAAAGTAGCTAGCTGCTATTTACAATGCATCTTTTGGCGGGAAAATACATGACCTTTTGTCAACTCCGTCAGATGTCAACTCCGTCAGATTTCATGTCTGACGGAGTTGACATGTAAGATGACGGAGTTGACAAATCAACCTATAATGACCTAAAGTGGTAATAAAATATTATGTTTGATATTATTTTTATGAGTTTTTAATTGATATTCTAAAGAAGAAAAACTTGCATCAATGAAATTTTAATTTGTTACCTGTTACAGTTTGTTATATTGCTCCTGTTCACTGACAAATTGTCCCAGTCAAAAAACATTAAAAAAAATATACCTTCATTCTTTTGCATACATTTTTGAATCAACTTGTTCCCTGATCATAAATACCAAATATTTGTATTGTAAGAAAGCATGGCAAGGCTGAAATTGTCAGTTGAGGAAAAAAGGCGAAGAAACAGAGAATACCAACAAAAAAGAAGGGAAAAAATAAATAGTGACCCAGAGAAGAAAAGGGCCACACAAGAAAGGGAAAAACAAAGATGGAAGAAGAGAGTTGAAGACAAAAAAGTAACACAAATAGGCACGATGGGAAACAGAGCAAAGAGGAACAAGAGGAA